ATGGATGGATGTTCTGAAAACATCCCCAGCCATCATCCTCACAAATAATGAATTCAATACAGTACAGTACAGTCTGCAATTCTTCATTTCTCTTAAACATGCACCACTTCGTAGCCCACAGATTCCTCTACCTGAAGACATCTACTTTAAATCTCATGCTCTGGTGCAGTAACATTGTGGAAAAAGTATGAATATTGCAAGAATGAATGATTGTGCTAATTTGTTAGTGCCGGAGATCATGGCTCTGTGGTGTAGAGCAGCTATAATGATCCTGCTGTTCTTGAAACTAAAGGCTGCTAGTTGCAGCTTCAGACCTGATTTGTCCCTCCCCCCCCCCTCCCCCCCGCTAAGAATTAGAGGCAACTGGTCTGCAGCCACAGACTGCTTAAGCCTTTTAAAAAGTTAAATATGTTAAAGCTGCTAAAAAAAAAATTCTTGCTTGGACAAAAATCCCTTAAAAATAGCAAAATGTAAGCAGTGTTTACACTGATTTCAGTACTCTTTGGTGTAGAACCAACAAGGCAATAAAGACCGATGGATAGCAGTGCACACTGGAGATTAGAGAGCAGTTTCACCTTCTGTTTCTTGTGCAGCTCAAACACCAATTAATTCCAATTTTGCTCAGCTCCTATTTGGTTGTTGCCAGACTTTTGCAGGCATTCAGTGTTTCACAAACATTCAGTGGTTTTTTTATGCACATGCTAACTACGGTAGAAGTCATTATAGTAATACGGTACTTTCATTACAGATCACTACAAGAAACATTAGTTATTTCAAATGGATCACTGAAGCATTAAGGAAATATCACACTTTGGGTTAAAATACAGCGATTATCAGTTGTGTCAGAGGTCAGTTTTTCAGCTTGAAAATCTTCTGAGGGGATGAATTACAGATGTACATATGTGATGTAGGCGTGAAACCAGACCTTGAATTAATATACAGCATAAATATATATACAGTTAGTTTCTAAGTTTTACTGGGAAAAGGACAGTTTGTACATGTACATAATCTAGTAGCAAAGCATGAAATGGTAATTTAAAAAAATGTTTCTAGGCCACGTGATTTCATGCATCTGATATGCTGTGCCACATGAGACACAGAGCTGTCCAACATGAATCTGAAGGGATACTTGGCTGATCAGTAGCCACTAAATCATGTACACAAGTACCTGCATTTGGCTTTGCTCTGCTCATCATCTGATTCTTGGAGAGATTTTCTTTCTTTCCCATTTAGAAGAAGAAGTGATGCCCTTTTTGTCAACTTTTTAACTGCAGCTGTATATTTTAAACTTAATTAACATCACAAGTGTTTGCCCTATAAAGTGGAATATTTGTAGTCTCTGGGTTTTTTTAATCAACTTTTCTGCTGTTGGACCATTATCTGTCACGGTCTAACCTCCAGTGAATCTGACAGCAACTGCAGTTGCCCCATTTATCCTCTTGTTTCATTTCAAGGTCCCTGACATGACAAAAGACCGCCTTATCCTCATCACCTTTGAAGTCATGCTGCGTGTATGACCTCAGACTCACATGATGTTTTGGCAAGTTGAGGGCTTCGCAAAAGGAAGGGGGGGAAAGTGAATATGGAATAAGACTTGCGGCGTGTGATAGTCTGAGCCAAAAAGCTACCATCTTTATCCATCACGCCTTGTCCAGCTTAAGTACCTAACAAGAGATAAAAAGCCTGGATCGGGCCAAACAGCCCGCTGGCATCAGAAACAGCATAATGAAAACTCTGCTGCCTCAGCAGTTGAACAGTGGAAGCAGGAGATCAGCACAGCCAAGATGTTTTTCCTCTACTACGAGGGGCATAAGGTCACACAAACATGTCCAAGATGTCAATCGTGACTGAATATAAGACAGAAATGTTGATACTGTTGCTCTCAGCTTGGGTACAGACCCTCAATAGCACCAGCACTTCTAGTTTCTGAAACCATGAAATTAAAAAGGAACATGTATCCATTCATCTCAGTTTGAAGCTTATAGTGAAAGGCAGTAAACAATACCTATGAGCATTTAAGTAAGAGAGGAATCCATATCCACACTCCTATCTAGTTGTTTCACGCATCTGAGACTTCTATTTCCCTGGGAAAAGAAAATGGGAGTCTTTACTGTTAATGTCACACTGACCATCAACTCCCACTCTGCCATATAACTCAATTACAGACTCAGCCACACTCATACAGTCTGCTGTATAGAAATAGATGGGATGAATAGTGTGTTTATACTACATGACTAGAAATTCAATTCACAGTGGGCTCAAGCCAAGCGTATATCCAAACTGTTGAATCAGCCACACGCACACACGCTGCTGGAACTAAATCATCATCAGTGCCAGAAGTGTTTTATCTTATTGTGTTTTAAGGAATAGTGTGTGTGTGTGTGTGTGTGTGTGTGTGTTGGTTGGAGTGAAGGAGCAGGAGGAAGAGAAGGGAGCAGGGAGGGGTTCATTCTCCTAGCTCTGAATCCCAATTTCCCCTGTCTGTCCTGGGGAGTGATCTTCACGCACACAGCCTGCTGCTTGCTGGTGCACCAGCTGCTGATGCGCGCACGCACACACAGACGACTGATCCCGGATCTGATAGCTGCCCTACAGCTAATAATAGTGAAGCAGGGAGAGCAAAAGGGGTGAGAAAGACGAGGTTTGGTGGGGTAAACAGTGGGTGGAGGGCAACACATATGTGAGACCCCTGAGGTGCAGTAAGACAGAAGCTGGAGAGGGCAAAACGCACATATGCGCAACAACCGGTTGGAAAATTGCAGAATGCAAATGCCAGTATGGTGAGGACGAGAAAAGGCATGTATGCGTTTTTCTTTAGAAATGTCACATCTGAATCACAGCTGCTTTCATCTGTCTGTCACTGGCAGCAACTTGCGCTCTGACTTCACGCGTGACAGGCAGATTGAGGAGGGATGGATAGATTGCGCACCGGTCCTTACGTGCGTGCGCGTCCGGGTGAAAGACAGACACGCACGGCCATGTAGCCAAGCACGCGCATCAATGACAGAGGGGTCAAAGCCTCGCGCACCGGCCGGCTGCGTCCTAGCCGTGACAGCACGAGCCAGTAGAAAGTATCTCGGGATTGACATACGTGCACAACGAGCCCCGTAGAAATGCAGCAGAACATCTCACATCTAACAGCCGGAATGTGAAGGGCAAAGCCAGAGACAGTTGTCTGAGACACGGCGCAACATTTTCACCTTCAGCGTAAAAGACAAGAAAGCAAAAGGGGGAAGAGAAGAGGGTCCAAATTGAGACATGACAAGAATCTACTCACTGTTTTCAGGAGCCCCGCACTCTTTTTCTTCTCTTTTTGCTCTCCGCGTCTTCTCTCCGTGCACCACAATCCATCCGTCCATCCCTCCGCTGGACATTTCCTGCGGCATAGAGCCTGATCGATTCTAATGTTGCGGGATAATGTCCTCGGGATGAAAGCGAAACATCTCACCCCTCCCGACAAAAAAAAGAAAATAGCAAAGAATCGCGCGCACGCACAGTTTCGACCTTTCCTCCACTCGGCGAGGCTACATGTTGCTGACTGCTACCTCTCTGTCCCTCTCACTCACTCTCTCCTCTCCCGTTATTTTGTTAAAATTCAGTATGTACGCTCCGTCACCTAGCAACGTCTCTCTACCTCCCTCTCTCTCCCATCCACCTCTCTGGGTCCTCATTACTTCCTCACGACACGTGTTGAATGCTAAACTAAGTTGTCCGATGTAAACAGTTTTATTTTAACTTCACCTAAATATTTGCTTAGCCTTCATCACTAATCTCTCTCCCTACACCCCCACAGACCTCACCCTCTCCTTCATCCTCCACCTCTGTCTCTCCATCACTCCCCAGGGATGCTTTTCCTCTTCCTTTATTTTTCACCAATTCACTCAAACATCTTCTTTATACCTCTGTTTTCGTGCGGATCTTCCCATTTTCAGTCCACACTAAAATTTGAGGGGCACAAACATATGTACAGAAAAAAAAGGTAAAAATCCAAATATGTTTTATGCAATTCAATCTACAATAATCTATTTCTTATTCTGATGACTAAATATGTATTTTCGAAGTGCAGTTGCTGAGTGCAGCACACAGATTGCTTTTTGGTAATCACTGTTTATGGAAATTAAGAAATAGAGAGGCAGCTCATTAGCCTAGAACACAACTTTGGCTGGCCTTTGTTATTGCTTTCATCCAGATAGTATTTTTACATAATTGCATAATCAGATGTTTACAATTTGGGAAGCCAACGGCTAGTGTGCTGATTTAGACTCTGGGGGCAAAAGCCAGTTTTTCATGGCTTCCAGTGGCGATAACAGAACCAGGACTTCTTGTTCTTGATCTGTCTATCAGTCATCGTTCATGATGAGGCATTTAACAAGATAATAAAATGACACTTATTAAAAGATGATTGTCAATGTTTTCGTGTCAGCTTGTTTTTTTTGTTTTTAATAAATATCTTAGAGTTGAAATCTGTCAGTTTCTCTCCACATTAACTTTTTACAAGCATCCAACAAAAATCTGTTGAAACGTGATTGGTCAGTGGTGCTGGACTACAGATGGAAACATTTAGGTATCAGTTTAGTGGCACTTCTTAAACTTTTTGTAACAACAAATATCAATCAATCTATGTCAATCAAACATAGAAAAATAGGGGTTAAAGCTTAATTTCATGATGATTAATGATCATAGCAAACTCATTTTGATGTATTTTTTCAGTAAAAAAGTAAATAAATAAATAAACAAGTTTGATATAGTTGTGCAGTCCTCATCAGCACCATCAGCACCTGGGCCCACCACAAAGTTTCAGTTTATATGAACTGAGTTATGTAAGATGCAATGATTAAACATAACTAATACTGACTCATGGTCTTAAAGTGAGAGTCATTTTTTCAGGGATTTTTGCCTCAATATGTACAACACAGCTCTGCTGATGCTGTATAACCCAGCAGAATATAAATATTTCAAGTCTCCAGGTTCTGTAAATGAAAAGGTTGGTAAATTATCATTGCTACCTGATGTACATGCATACAAAACATTTGATACGGTGGTGGTTTTGAAATCCTCTTTCTGCTCTTCACATTAACTGTTTACCTGCTTCCAGGATAAGCCTCCTCAAACACAGCTGGAGCTCAGAGGGCTTTTTCTGGCATGCCCAGCTTCAGAAGCTTAAAAAAAGATCACAACCTA